CATCTTTGAATATAAGGGCAATCATACTGTAAACTTACCATTCATTCTTTGCTTGTCCATATTTATTCAGGTTTCTTGCTCCTTTTCTCCATTTCCATCTTCTCCGTTCTTAAAATAAACTGTCAATGGAACTGATTGATGACATACATTTTTAGATGTCGGCAAATATTTTATGAACTCTGTTATAATGATAAATGATAACTGATAAGGTATAATAAATTGTGCTCTGTCGATCTGTATCTAAAATATGACTGGAAATTAATTACTCGTCGCATTTATTAATTGCTATGCAGAACATGTTATTAATCTACTTTTTTAGGCCCTGTTCAAGTTCGAAAACTGGCATGACTATATTAAATATAAATTTTGATGTATACTGATGTACACTGTTCACACGTTTATTTCGTTTTATAATATCATATTAATTTACTTGTTGATAATTGAAGAAAATGAATGCAATGGACATATTTGATTTATGAGACATTATCAATGATATATTTGATTGAAGAGTAAAAGCTTTATGAGAAACAGACCGTATTGTGTTTAGGTAAATAGTAAAGATTGTGGACAAATAAGACTTTATACTGATCTAAGCATGATCAAAGCGATAAGCTAATTAGAAATGAAATACACGTACATGTACATAAAACGTGTACTGCAACTGCAGTAACTTCAAAGTTTCAGTTTCAGACAAATTTATCTATAATACTTTAAGATACAATTTGACAAAAATCACATTTCTCAACTCGTGTATGGGAGAAACTTTATGTTTAATGAATGATTTATTTTATTGTTTGTGCATGTTTAAGATTTGAGTATATTATGCATTAATGCTATGCAGAACATGTTATTAATTTACTACATTAGGCCCTGTTCAAGTTCGAGAACTGGAATGATTATAAATATAAATTATGAATCTAATTCTTATTTAGATATACTGACTGCCTTAATCACAAACTATTACTATAAATACATGTCCTTTTTATTGTTTAGATTAGATTCACATTAACCCCGTTATCCTTACAAGTAATACATTATTACAATATAAGAGTCAAAATATGGTTCATCAATTAATCTACAAGAGTACCAGGTTCGAGTCCTTGTTTTGTTTTGTTAAAGATGAAAATGTAACAAAAAGACGAATGTATTTCTAATTTCTAATTCTCTTATCTTACCGCCTTGATCATGCTTGGATCAGTATAAAGTCTTATTTCTACGAACAAGACTCTCTTGTTATAAATGTATCTCAAAAATATCTAAATAAAACGAGAAAAAAACTAGAACAATATCACGTGACAGAGCGAAGCAAGTACTTACTGTCATAGAAAATAAGAGAAACATGTAATTCGAACTTGTCAAAGAATTCCCTTTAGAATACATATTTAGTTTATGATATATATCTTATATGATGCTTGGTGTCGTACGCCGTTCCCTGTAGTGATTAAGTATTTTTGCTTTCAATGTAGGGCAAATTTTCTAAATTTCTCATGTAACATTTTATGGCATTCATTTTTGTATTTCATATCAGCGATAAAATTTATATCCAATACAGCTCCATTTTCTTTATTTCGAGAACCCTTGTATTTTTCATCAAAATATTTTCATGTTCATTCATTGTTATAAATTGAAACTTATATTTTAACATATTTGTGGTGAAGATTAACTTAAACACCAACAGACAGACATTTTAAATCTTTAATTTTCTAATCATAATTTAAAATATTCACTTAAAATCAAATATAATTAAATGCACCTTTTCCGAATAAGAATATCTTTTTAATAAAAAAGTCCTTAGTTAAATGTGAATCTAATTTAAACAATAAAAAGGACGTGTATTTATAACGATTTTTCCCTCAACTCAAAAAAGGAAAGATACACATAATACGTGATATTTTCCCGCAATTCAAAAATAGATTATAAGCGGAGCAAAGACTGATATACATATATATGAGGACGAGATTTACTTAACATCACTTTGAGGAGAAAATAATCAATAAACATAATTATGAGGAGCAAAGAAAGAAAACAAAATAAATACTTCGTCTTGTATTTTACGACACCTTAACCCCGTAATCCCCTACAAGTAATACATTATCACAATATCAGAGTCAAAATATGGTTCATCAAATAATCTACAATAAATGTTATTTTTGGGTTTGTTATGCGTTACGTTGCTGTGGTAGTGATCGTACCTTTCTAATATATGATGTGAGATTCTTTCAGCAATCATGATGTATCGTGTAATTGTTTGTGACAACAGTCATTTCCGGCTGTATAAGTAATTTTCATATTGATGCTTTCGGGGGAATATTGTCATAAACATTCGTGTAGTATCTAAAACTAAAATTTCTAAACCTTGATGTATTGACAAAACATCCACATCTAAATAAACAACAGAGGGAAACTAGTCATTGATGAATGACGCCTTAACGCGTTTAGATGAATCACATTGCTTGAATCTTTGTTTAACTTTTACTCTCAAAACCCTTAAAAATCAAATAAAAATCAAAACTGTTTTTAAAATGAAAAATTTTTAAATCTTTCTTTTATACAGTTAATTTTTGTTTAAGTTTTGAAAAGAAAATAAATTTTTTTCGGAAAAAAACTTATAAAATAAAAAATGTCTCATTGTCTTTTAACAAAAAAATCACAAATTTAAAAATTACAACATTTTTAATTTGTAAACTTTTTTAACTTGTTTTAAAATCATCTTTTAATTTTTTCGTTAAAAGGGGCTTTGTATCTCCTGTATACAGGGAAAACTTAAAAGAAATATCGTTTTTTAATGAAACGCTTTTCTTTTTTTAAAACTTTGGGAAATTTTTACAAAAAACCGCCTGAATTTTCTTTAAAAACATGTTAACTTCAAAATTTAAAAATTATTTAAAATTTTTGGTTTTAAATTCTTATTTTTCAAAGAAACGTAATGTTATATAATCAGCAAAGTTATCTTTAATAACTCCTAATTTATTTCCACTACAATTTCAACCGCCTCCCTGGTCGAGGGGTTAGAGTCGATGACTTCTAATCCAGTTACCTCTCTGGCGTGGGTTCGATCCTCGGGAGATGCTTTGGTAGTTTAGCACGGAGGAAGGTAGTCTAGTACTGGTGTAACTCTCCAGGAACGATGGTTAGGAAACTACCCGCCTATATGACTGAAATACTGTTGGAAAAAGGCGTAAAATGAAACAAACAAACAAACAAAAATCCACTACAATCCCTCTTATGACGTAGAATTTCTTCTTAATATATTCAAATAGTTAACATATATAGCAACATGTAATAGAAAAGAACATTTGTTAACAGCACAAGATTGTTATAATTAGATTGCTATATTTTATTAAGCTCATGTATAAATACATGTATAGAACCGTTTCGCAGGACCAATCTTTTGTTACCATTTACATTTACATTCACCATTTACTTTTTGTCTAACAACTAAGAATATTTCGGAAACACTTTTAAAGAATTCCAACAGTCTTTTATTGCAAGCGATTTTAACTGAACAGTTGTACAATAAATTCTTCAGTATATATAGACAATGTTCCCGCAAAAGAGATGTAAAAATCATGCTTTTAGCATGAACAATAATTCTTAAATAATGAAAGGAGCATAATGTTACATATTTTAAAACAAGTTTTATAACAAGAATATTGACATTTAAGGAGTAAACTATATTAAGGTACATATATTTCAGGAGTTTTAGCATCACATTGCATACCGTGATCTTTCACGACATTACCAAACACGTGACTCACAGTAAAATACATAATATAAGTCAAAAACCATTTTATTTGTTATACCATTTCTTAAAATTAAATGTGAATAAATGATAGAGATTCAAATAATTCCAAAAAAAAACAAAGTTTGCTATCTCAAAAACTGTCGAAACTACATTTGTTTATTAACGTTATTCTAAAAATATAGAAACATATATCAAATCTCTCACGTTTTTTTGACGCTGTTGTTGTTTTTTAGTTGTTATCTTTCTTTGTTTTGGTGAGGGTCAATGTGTGTAGTTGTTTTTATTTTCTGCAAAACTGTTCCCGCAAATTTTTTTTTTCTGTGCGTGTGCTTTCTACAAAATATTAGCCTTTCTCTTAACTTACTTGTTTTTCCAATCACTGCATGAATCGGATTTGGAAAGAAACTATGGTATTGATAATATTGCTTATTTGGAGACAACAAATCTTTGCTAAGTATGTCAATATATTTGCTTTATGTCGCATGCCTTCATTACTTTGCTTTGTTTAGGACGTACAAACTTTTGCCTCGGTGACACAATATAGTTGGTAAATTGTATAACGTTTACTGAAAACATTTTTAGCTAGACAAAAAAAACAACAAAAAAAACAACAGCAACATCGCTCATTTAAAAACCAGAAGATGAAACATATGCAGACATGAATAAGTAATTTTATTTCACTCAACAAAACATCTATTTATGCAAGTGCATATTTACAATGGAAATACAAATATTATATTACAGTATTTTCAATACATCATATGTGTCTACAAATCTGTATCACCTGAATAACATTAGATTACTTAAAAGTATTGGCAGTTGTTATATTAACATAGAACAAATATTATTAAAGTAACTATAGGTAATCGATTCGAACAAAACTTTAACACTTCATTTCATATGAAATGGTTCGTTTGTACATCATGCGTGAAGATCTAGCGATTTTTTGACCTCAAAATTCTATAGTTTCATAAATAATTTAATGTACATGTATCTTTAACAATTTCCAGACAAATATTATATTAATATATGGACGTGGTGTTCAGTTGATTATGTCCATCGTCATTATATATACAAGCATTGAAGTATTGAAAATCTACATAAATATTACATATAACTAGAATCAGTAAATTAATTAACATTCGTGTATCATATAAACATACTGATAATGAAAATGAATTCAATTTCAAGGTAATCATTTTAAAAATATATGATAAGTTAAATATCTTCTTTTTTAATTAAAGGGAAATCCTGAAATCGTGTACATATTTGATTACAGACAGAATTCAAATGCATTTTGTAAGATAATCAAATTAATTGTGAGAATGAAGTAATTCAACCGAAAGGTATTAAAGGCAAAACAAACAGTCTGTTCAAATTATGTTTAAAATTGATTTATTTCCTTCGAGACTTGCTGATATCAACCTTCAACGAATTCTCTCAGATTCAAAATATATAAATGGAAATAACTGTAATTATACATCTTAAGAATATTGGTAAAAAGATTTTTTTAAAGAAAATGATGTTATGTGAACAATTAGTACGATATATATTAGTACATTGTTAGAATAACATTACAATTTAACACTTCTACAATTTTCTGAAAACAGTTTCATTTTCTATTTTCAGTTGGTAACTGTAAAATACACTAATAATCTCATATGGTTACGTGATATCAAGTGAAGCAAGATCAGACGAAGTGATTGTTTATACATTATAATAAAGTTAGATCAAATAGAGTCGTTCTAGTAAATAAGATATCGTTTAACAAATGGTTTCGTTTTAAAATGTGGTATCGTTTTAACATTTTTAACAATAAAATTTAATATGCTTGAAAATTTTACAACTGTTCAACTCTGTCAGGGCATCGAAATTTAGTCAAATATAAATATAAGATGTTTTTCTCTCTGAATTTTCGGCACTACAAAATTAAGCTAATGGTCTATATGAATTACTGATTATAATAAATACAACACAATTTCTATAAAACTCTATACACACATATATTCTAACTCATTTGTACATGATAATTGATTACAAAAAGGGCGACCTTTCATATTTACAAAACTGTCTCACTTCACAGTATTGAACACTTTCTTGAATTATCCCAGGGGTTCTTCTTCTTGTCAGGAGGCACTATTAGACCATCTTCGTTTATATTTTGGTCAATGAAGCAAATCATGCTGTAATAAGAAGGTAAAAAATATACAAGCTCAGCATAAATATTACTCATAAAAAATGTTATGCCAGGCTAGTACTTTTCTAAATCAATTATGCAAATGAATATGACAAAGAAAGAGAAAAGATTAGCCATACAAGATTAGATAAATGTACTGACACACATAAACCAATATAGCCATATACGACTGGAAGTTAGATAAATCAGCCATACAAGTCAAAGTATATAATTATCCATTTTTATTTAAGACACTGTTCCAATGTTTGCAAAACTTATGTACATATTTTATGAGACGAAAACTTTATCATGAAGTGAGATGATATAGTCTAAATTAATACATTATTTTCAGGAACGTGTAATACTTTCTTCTATTTTACAATGTTTAAATGCACCACAATATTTCAAATGTACACCGTATATAATTATTAAAGATAAAAGAAATGAATAATGTTTTCTACGTCTTTGAGACAATATCTGCATTTAATTTAACTGTTTCAGAAGAAAACGTTTGAGTGTTCTTGTTCTTCAGTATATTAATAAAGCATAATGAAAACGTTTGTAATTGTTCGTTTCAGGATTAATGTGGTTCCACTTGTTTTCAACGACCGACTTGATTTAATGGTCATCTGTTTAAATATCACCATCATATAATTAACTATACATTAAGATATCGAGGATGTTGAATGAGTGTAAGTTCAATACTGCATTTATTGAACGAGTTGAATAAAAATTATACTAGTCGAGCCGCTGACGAGCATAATATTATTTTATTCAACCAGTTCAATAAATTCAGCAACGAACTTACACGAAATTAATATTCTATTTATCACACACCAAAAATAAAGACTGTTTAAAGTGAAAAAGAGTTATTTTTCATTGACGCCTACAGTATAACATTAAGCGCGCCTTTACACTATTTTGTATAATGCAAACAACGGCATACAGATCAAGTTTAATGAATAAAAAAGTTATCAACAATTTTGAAACTGGTTCGTCATTTCAGTCAACTCCTTTTTATATTATTGTTACTTTTATCGTCCATGCATAAACTTTTAATAAATATTTCAGGAAATACTTAGATTCAATTTACGATTGTTATGTCTGCACGTACTACTTGTTTACATATTCTGATGAATTTTGATATCATTCATGTTGGCGTCAGCTGTAACGTAATTTAATTGTTAATGTACCCAATAGGATAAGAAAATGGATTAACTTTGAATTACAAATATAGTGAACAACCGCCACTTCGTCGTGATATTCTATGCTCAACAGAAGCGACACTTTCTTCTTGGTTATTGATCGGCAAAATTGTGACAAAGTCATCATTAACTATGTTTACTTGTCAAGTTTCAGAAACTGAATTGAAATCTCTGACATTTTGCAAACAAATACGCTAAATAATGTATGTTTCGTTTTTGAAAATTGATATCATGTCCGTCGAAACTCTACCTGTAACATAATGAATGTTCTATTTATTGGTCCAACAAAAACTAGAATACTATTACTCATAATATTAAAGAAAGCACGTGGTTTTATACTCGAGGATGTAGATAAGATACTTTATGTGCATAACAATAAGCTGAATGACATGAAAAGGATAGATAAGTATAATTGTTTGTCACATTGGATCATTTGCATAAATGACTTGGATAAGTGGACTTTGACTTTATTATATAATAATTTCAAGTGAAAACGTTTTTATACTCATGTAATTTTGAACTTAAAACGGTTGTTCTGGTCAGTGGGTCAGTGACTGTTCTTAAATTTTGCACACAAGACTTTGGTCAATTAGTCAAGACCTTTATTATATGGTAAAAAATCTAGACAAAAGTACAAGTCCCGAAACATCAGTGGAATTCCTTCGGCAATAAGGATTTTAGTATTACTATTTTCACTTGGAATCATAACTTTAATCTCTACAATAAAACATGATCACTTCTTGTATAAAATCGTTCAGGTGAGTTTTGATGAAAGTATCAACCTTATTTAAAATATCATAGACATCCCCCACTGTGTGCCTTTTAGCTGGAGATGTTTCGAGTCACTTCAGTAAACATAGCTATCTTTTTTTATCTTTCCATTCATTTTAATATCGATTAAACATAGACCGAATATTTCTGGATTCAGTTGTTGAAACTAATGTTTTTGTAATTACGCCTGAATTTTTGCTATTCCCACATCGGTCATTATAACCGCACATTAATACTAGATTGGAATCAACTATATTGAACCCATAAAATGTTTGTGAAAGGAATAATCAAGAAAAGGGAAATGTCAAATTCCGATCAGGAAGTAATGAAACAAAATTTCTGCCATGGGAATTAGGCGATGATTAGTTTATAATTTCTGGAATTTTCCAACACCATTCGTTTTAACTTGGAAGCGTCATAAGGATTCGGTAACGTACATATAATGATTTGTCTGCGTTTAAAGCTGCTTTGCAGAAATGATGCGTCTCGATCTAACGAAAAGGCAATTCAATTATATTATTTTTTCTAACACTAGTTCGAGGCTTCTTTTGGAGCAATTTTTTTACGCCTGCAGCCTTAAAATACAAGTCAGTATATGTATTATAATGAAGTTAGCTTACAAGTTGTTTAATTTGTTAAATACGAAAGTAAATTTTGTATTTGTTTTTAGTTATAATGATTGAGTAATCATATAATGACTATGAAATTATATAAGAATCAGTTTAGGTAGTTTCCAATATTGAAATTATTTCAAAGATGCACTGGAATTATATTTCAATAATCACTACGGACCTTTTTGATGCTCCAATAAATCGTGTAGACTTTATGCTACATCTGTCTTTAATTATTCAGGAAAATTGTAACCTTGCGTTTATATTCTTACTTTGATGATTTTAAATTGCAATTCATAAACATTGTCCTTCTTTTTGTCAATCTTTTAATATATAAACCTTAACCATAAATAAGGAAACTAGTACAACGGTAATATCATAGAAACGAACACGGCATTATATTCGTGATTTCTATCTATAATCAAGAAAATGTTGTTTTGCTATGTTTCGAATAAATTTATGTGTTCTGCGGTGCTGCTGATATCGATTTGATAATGGCTTACTGTAGGAAATCTCTGATAAATAAGTCGGATTCTAATTTTACACTTACTCTTTCACTGCGTCAGAGACAAACATTCGCTGTAAGTCCTTATGGATCCGTAACATCTCCACTTGTCGCTTTAAGTCTTCCTTCTCCATCCCTAACACTCCTCTGAAAACAAAATACCGCCAATGTATTAGATAATTAATGAGATATATTTTTAGATAATGGCGATAATTTAATGAGATTTGTTACAAAATCAATAGCTTCCGGTAAGATATAAGATATCGTTCATCATTCCTTGTTGATTTGCTTCTAAAGTACGGACTGAAACTATGCAATTTGAGACGAACTAATAAAACAGCTGGTTTGGTTTTCAAGAATGCACCTGCAACACCGTTAACGTTGTACAACTCCCATGCGAATTTAAACATTCAAAAGTTTAGAATGATGTCAATGATATAGAATTAAGAATTTGCAAAATGTTGTCATTATTTTTGTATTTGAATAATGCAAATATACTAGGGCAATAAAGATAAAAGTATAATATAAACTTAGAATATATCATTCACAACTTAGGCAAAATAACTATAAGACAGGAGATATCACGTAGAGCGAAATACAAACTATAATTTAACATAATTATTTGAAATAATGTACAGCAAAAGGTATGTTATGATACAAAATGTACAATATTTTACTGCTTACTTAAGACAAAAAATTTATATCATTTCGTTTGCAATAGTCAAACTAATCATTACCTTGAAATCGTAGCCAGTCTTTCAAGAAAACGATTTGAACGAGATTGAAATCAATCGAGATGATCTGAAAATACAAACAATTTACTTTAACTTTAATATAATAAAAGAAAGGCATGCAAAGCTGGCCAGCATTGTAGTCAAACATGCATGTTTTAAACTTTAGTTAGCGGTGTTCATATTTTAAAGGTTAAAATAATGATCATGTCTGTATGTCATTGAAGATCAAACATGCATAATTGTAGAAATTTGTTTCATGTCTTGTTTGTCAGAATTGTTTGACAAATGAAAGCTTAAACATTCTTTAAATTAGTCTGCTAAATGATACTATTGACTACTTATTAATTAAATCGGTCATCCTTTTCAGTATGATTTTGAAAAATGTTGTTTGTTGCAATGTTTTTGCATATGCCAAGATAATTTTGAGAGCCCGTAACTTTTTGAAAATTACGAACCAAAATCCTCAAATAACTAATTTTATCATAGCATTGTAGATATTTTTAAATGATAGATTATCTTATACTAACATATTTTAATACCCTGTTTACTGATTACTATTTTTTCTTCTCACAACTTCGGTAGAATGACAAGTTCTATGAGTCTGCTTCATATCAAATTGTAATGCAAAAACTATAATTATAATTGTATCTAAGAAATTCAATCAAATCTAAGCAAACAAAGAATCTATAACTTCTCCGCAACTGACAACCCTTTTAAACGATGAAGCAAACATGAATAAACGAATTATCTGTTATATTCTAATGCAAAGAGATAACCCGTTCTCCTCTAATCCATCTAAGTGAAGGAAACCCGTAAACTTATTATTGATTTCCTTAAAGTCAATTATACAAAATAGCTCAGGATTTTCTCTTGCATACTTTCTGTTGGGTATTTCTCAGAGAAACTTAGACGATTATCACCGAATGTTACGCTCAAACAGTTTTTCTACAGATAAAAGCAATATAAAGTCTAGACATTTCAAAACCTTAATTAGTAGCCTCTATACTTTCATTATACTCTAAATGCTAGTTCTTTGTAAAACTGAGCACTGATTATAGGTAGGTCGTATGATATATATGCATATCTTAATATTATTCGTCTACATGCAAAATTTGTTAACAAAATTTAAATAACTATGCATATCGTATCATGTACTGCTGAATAAATAAGAAAACTTTCAATAGTTGTGGTTTCTTGTCTATTGCAAATATCATCAATATAAAACATGTACATATTCCGTTTCCCTTTATTTAAATTTGATTCATATCAATGACTTCAAATTTTATTTGTCGGCGGTGTTAAAATGCAAATTACATGAAATGTTCCAAAATGTAGTTTTTATGTGTAGATTTTTAATATGTTACAAATTTTTAACAACGGGTAAAAATAATCGAAACAGGTATACGAAGGTAAAAAGGACACAAAGCATTGATAGAACCTTTACACTTCTTAAAATCACTTGCTACATTATTTTCACAACATTCACACACACGTATTCAATTGGGGTTCTTGTGTACTAGCCATTTACAAAACAGAAACGTTAACCTTTGTTTTTTTGTTTGTTTTTTTGCTTTTTATCTTTTTATTGTTGTTTGTTTGTTTGTCTGTTATATGTTCTCTGACAATAAGTTGAATTTTTAGCATAGCTGACAAAACTTACATCATTTAATTGGCAATTACCTATTAGAATGCGTATAAGTAGAAATAAATGTTACTATGCTAAAACTTAGAAACATTGCTAGCTTTACTGCGAATGTGTTGACAATTTCCAGACCAAATTGAGATTACGCATTCGATTCGTTCCTCTATTGCTTTACTGTTTGATTAAATTTAGAAATTAGACTGTACTTTTTATAATTACGTGTTACATTTGTATTGATTTACAATTTATTGTTATTGCTTTACTTATCTAAACATTAAAGACATACTGTTTTGTGTGTGTTTTTTTCTAGAAATAAATAAGGTTAATAAATTTAGAAAATAAACATCATGTTGTCGAGTTATCGACAATCTTACCTATCAGTATCAAATAAAAATCTTTTCATTTACAGTTTGTTGAAATTAATTGTACAATTAAGTACACTAGTTTTATTTTCACATTTCCTATCCAAACGTTTATTCCTTTTATTTCTTTATTCCGTATATCACTGTATTGCTAAATTCCAGAGAGAAACGCCATTACATTTCTGGCAATTTTCATACAAAATATCTGCCAACTAATCCAATAACTCTCCTTTCTTTTTTCTTCTTCTCAATAAAGACGTTTCATAAGAAAGCCTAACCATATACGTTAGCAATTCCGACCATGCGCACTCAAAAGCCGCAATATCGGCTAATGTCAATTTCAGTTTCCACAGTGTCCTTGTGATGGCATTGCTTGAATGAGATAAGCGGAATAAGAAGAACATACCAATACGATTTTCCTTCCCTATAATAGATACGCACTGGCTATTATTTCTTGTAAGGTCAATAAAGGAATTACACTAGTAGCAGGAGATAGGAAATTCAATGTCGCTGGCAAATGAAATTGATACAGAATACTCTTAAAAATCAATCTAAAGTTAGCCTAATAATGACCACGGTTTCTCAGTAAGATGATTGCTAATATCAGGCGACGTGACACAAGCAACTAAATGTATTTGAAACGATTTCTAAGTCGTGTTAATTTTGTCCCTGACTTCTTTTGTACTACGCAGTTAAATGTTATAGAGGTTTTTTTAACCGAATATTTCAGACCTTCAGAAATATTTTTTTTGAATGTGAAATTAACTGCAAACGTCTGAACCAACGTAATACAATGAAGCCTTAAAAAGAAAAAAGGATTTGATAAAATGAGCGCTAATATTACATGTACTTTATATTTATTTTGAATGTAATTTAATAATGATGCAAACTTGTAGTACGTTGAAATGAATTTTACTTCGAAGATTTTAAGAAAATATTTAAAAGTTCTAAACAAAAAAACTCTTACTGCAAATTCTATAATATAATATAAGTATAGTATAAATAATGTAATAAGAAAATCTTAAAAGAACGCCAATAACCGCAAAATTGAAATTGTTTCAGTCTCGGTTTGATTACATCTATCCATGGACAGAAGTGGAAAGTGCAAGCTACCGTCCAATTCCCAATCATTGGTTCAGCCAGTATTCAACATTTACACAATTTTATCCGAAGATGTGTTCATAAATCCATTTTTGTGAGTTTACTTTTAATAATGTGACATTTTTATGGATATATATACGTATATTGTTTTTCACACAAAAAAACACACAAACACTTTACATAAACATGCGTTACTTAAATGACATCATGTATTATGTATCAGTTGTATTGAATGTATGGAATATTAAATATTTGAAATACGATTTCTTTAATTACATGATGCCTAACCGACATTATTCACCACAAAGAAAATTTCTAGATTACCTACAATTATTTCTACGTTTTCTGCATATGTGATTGCGTCCACAAATTTTGGCGGTTTAAATATTTTAAAACTTTTGTCAATGCATACGTCTTGCGTGCCTGATCATGTATTTTTTAACACTTATTCTCTATAGAGAACAATAAATGTGAACACTATGTAAGATATTTAGAAGAGAAGAATACTAAATTAATGTATATCGAGCTGGGGAGCAGGTGTTGTAACTTGACCATATGAACATCTTTTTACTTAAAATAGTAAACGTATCATTTTACCATACATTTTTAAGGTATTCATTTTCATTCATTGCGTGGTAAGCTTTAACAGTAAGTTCACTATAAGGGGATTGTTAATGTTCTTATGTATCTCTCGCGTTCTGTCAAGTAAAAGATCGATGTTGTTTAGCTCTAAGGTTATTAAGGCGTCACAAAGCATTTCTTTCTCCGGCAATAATCAATTGATTCCGCTAGATGAATTTGTTTCTAGAATTCCGCTTAAACGTGCTTTATGCTTTGTTCGAAATTCCAAGTCATGGACCATATTTAATTTGTTTTTGAACTATACGGAAATTCGAAATGTTTGCTGTCTTTTAAATTTATGTCAAATGTTGGTTGTTTTTTATCATGTTTTGAATTTATTACAAATAATTTGTAGAAATTCCTAAAATATTTAGAGAACATTTAGGGCAAAATGCGATGTAAGTTTGCTTGCAGCGCTTCTTTTTTATTAATCTGATAATAAAAACAAAGTCTTCAGAATCATTTTAAAAAAATTAAACGGTAACGTTTACTGCAAAAATGATAAAATATAAAAGTATAACATAATAATGGATTGTTTAAGCAAAAGGAAAATCAAAACACAAGCATTTAGTCTAATGTCATATAAAAGTTACTATTTATATATCAGCCTTTATCTTTTTTCTTTCTTTTTTTTTTGTTTGTTTGATTGTTTGTTTGTTTGTTATAAAGTTACATATTTAAACGCATTCTTCTTTAGATGTAATAAGTGTTTTGTAAGCCTAAATTTGACGATCATGCAATAAGAATAAGTTCTTTAAAAAAAACATCTTCTAACAGAATAATTTTACTGATACTTAGACGCTAACTCAAAGACGTATCTTATTTTCTTTTTCAGACTTAATCGATTAATTGATTCATTGTTAAAGCGTTATTTTTCTCTCCCCAGTATTAGTACAAAATATGACGAGGAAACAAGGACATTCCCATGTTGTTGATGTACAACAGTACGCATAAAAGGCCTCACAAAATAGAACTAAACTCATTACTTAAGTCTTTAACGATGCCTTCATTCATTACAACACAGATTATTTGTAGAAAAGCCCGGTCATGGCCACACATTTAGTTCCCGATATTCTGAATTTCTTTGTCATTTTAACGAAATGCTTCACAAAAAATGAGTTGATTATTTGAATAAAAAATAGATTAAAGAATCTCTTTGTTAGCATTTGTCTTTAATATGTTTACTAATCCATCCAATTTTACTTCAAATGAAATGTTCTTTGAACAGAAAAACACACAAAGAATGTCAATTCTGATTACAAATCATATAAAAACATAAATTTAAACATCGATCAAATTGATATAATAATATTTACATTATTGTTAACTGAAGCACCGAGTTCTTAAAATTCTAAAACGATTTCAGTAAAGTCAATTCCATTCAATTCTGCTTAGTAGTCGATTATAAAAAGATAGGTAAGATCAAATAAATGTTTCAGATTCGGTTACTAATAAAACTGAAAATATACATACAGTAAATATATCTCAAACAATATTGATAGCAAAACACAAATTTTATGATTTCCAAAGTCAGCATTTTAATCTGTTACCTCTTTTATCTCAATATCGTTTTACGATTGATAAAGAATATCGAAAAGTGTAAACTGGAGAAACATCACAACTAACAACAACTACAAACATGGTTCAATGAAAACAAAAGCCGACGCCTTAAGACATAACTGCAATAAAGTGCATTAACCCTTGATTTTTATTCCCGGGAAATTTGTTATCTACAGAACAAAAATGAGATTGTGTTCTCTATTACAGCCTAACAACGCCATATCGTTTTATTGATCCATGATATTAGCTGTTTTGTGATAAACTAAGTAGCCAAATCCATTTCCTGTCATCTGTCTGAAATTATTCCGGCGATATTTAGCCCAGAGAATTGTTATACGTGATAAATCACTTGCAGGCTTCCACCGAATACTGTTGGTTTGAACTTTGAACAAAATTAAATTCTTTTAAGTACCGGTATTTCACTTGCTCTCTTTTCACATCAAGCAAATTTACAAATGAGTTAACTGAGTAACACGAGGTTTTGAATGAGGCAAATTGTAGGCTATTGTAGTAAATATTGGAATTTCAAGGAAAAAGTGGAAAGTAACTTTATTTTGGGATAACTGTTAGTAAAACGGTGTTGTGTTTTAATATTTTGAATTTTCATAAATTCATAAACAAGCTCAAAAATATACCAAACTTTTAATCCTGTATCATCCTCGTATTTAACCTGTGCTATTGATTCATGGCAAAAAGTCCGGTTGTATTGAAACCGATGGCATTTAGACAAATTTATCCTAGACGCCATAAATCACTCTAAAATGACCGCTCGATAAGTTCTGTGGAACAATGATTGCCATTGATGTGTTTGCATTTGTAATACATGAAACTTCTGCAATATACATGTATAATATGTCTGCTAGTATTAATAATAAAAACATATATATTAGCAATGAACAACATTGGAGAGAAACTTTTAAGGAATACAACATTAAATTATCTGACCCAGTAGTCACCGACATTGCACCATACATAGATATAAGAGAGGTGCCCGTGTAACATTGCACAAGGATACACCGCCAAAGAGTGGGAAAGTGGGGACAGTGGGAGAAACATATACCAATCAACGAATCATTGCTTCTCAGTTATAAATATAACAGTGTTTGATAAAATGTGAGTGTGTTAAGTAATAAATTTACATGCGCATACACATAAAATGGCAAAATTGAAATAATTACTGCAATATTATAATATAAAACAATGAAACCGGTGAATCTAGGCCGTACATATCATTTGTCATAATATATCATAAACAAAACAATTTTTGAAATATATATTCTAATCAAAGATAAACAAAGATTATATTAGAGAGAAATAATGATAATGAATCACTATCAGCCACGTTACTTAGCACAAACGAAATCAAACTTAGAAGTTAAAGGTATTTCACTGAGGTTTTATGACATGCCGGGACTGTAAATAATCTTTCAAGATTACATTCTATTTGAAAGCTAAGACCAATAACTTAAAAAAATATAAAAAAAACTGCAGATTTTACGTTCACGCCGTTTTTCATGAATAATTATTTAAATTGTGAAAAATGACCTGAAATAGAAAACATTTTTGCTTGTTATTGATTTTCTTTTGGACTTCAGTGGAGGTCCCTTAAAAATATGGCAATCTTACACCCGTTGTTTATTTATTGCATACGTACACATGAATGTTGATGACATTGATATTTTTTTTTAAAAATGAAACAAAAAGGCGAACAGAACACCGACATTAAGCGACGATTGTACTTCAAACCTCTCGTAGAAAATCTGTTTTAAATTCTAAACTTTAGCATAAACAATGTAACAGGGAATTTTTTGTATTTGCATGAATTTCAATATTGCTATTGTATATATATGAATTGCTATTATAATTAGTTTTGAATTAAGATCCATGTATCTTTTTACAGTACCGAATGTGAAATATACTAAACGTTTGGTGAAGCCATCTATTATTGAGTGTCTTTAGCTCATCAGAAAACGCAAATATTGATGAAAAATGTTATCTTAGCGTGATCAAGGTATATAGGTAAGATCAGAATAAAGACATAATTATTATAAGATAGGATTCTCTTGTTCTCTATATTGATTTTAGGTTAAGACAAATGATTTCTAAAGAAAAAAGTACAAAATAAATTTC